ATTATTTTGTTGTACCAAATAAAAGAGTAGAATGTTGGATTTTTTGCCTGGGTTAGAAATGATTTTCTTTTTTTTATTTACCGTTCATTCGTTTTTTCAGTCCAAAAAAAATTGAAGTTGAAAAGGGTGGTAATGATGCTTAGGGTTCGTTTAGTTTGACTTTTGAAAAGTCAAAAGTAGTTCTTGAAATTTAAAAATTGCTTTTGAACCCGTTTGATTAATTCTATGAACGTGTTTCTTTTAGTTAGAAGAGTTTTGAGAGAAAAATAGTTCAACGTGACTTTCTTTTAAAAACACTTTTAGAGTAACGAGTTCTTTTAGGTCTTCTTAGACAACAATTATTCGAGTAAAATAGAGTTTTCAATAATGAATTTGTGAAGAATGTTATTAGAAAGTAGATAAAAATTTTGAATTTAAATGTATAGAATATTTTATTGTGTGAATATGATTGAAAAATTTATGTAGAAATTTTTTTTTTGAAATAATGATTGTCAAAGTAGGTGATTAAAATTAGTTTTAAAATAAAAATTAACATAATTTTTTTCAAAGGCTCTTTTAGAAAAAAGTAAAATTACGTCAAACGAGTCATTAATCCATTTGGGCGCTTATGGATGTGACGTTGGATATGACGTCAATTCTACTGTCTGAGTGATAAACTGTAATTAATTTTGGTGATTAATAAAGTAAGAAAAATATAATAAAAACTAATTTAAAATCTTGTACATACTTCAGTGACCAAGGTGAAATTAACTCATTTTATATATCGTAAACATAGTTTTCTCCGTTTCAATTTCTTCGGCGAGTATCCAAGGTAACATTGACTGGACTTGGTCAAATTATTACAATTTTTTATTTTCACTGTCAATTTTTGCAATTATTTATAGAGGAAAAGCTTATAAATACACAAATACATTCAGAAATCATTTTGTCGACTCTTAAGGAAACAATAATATTCAAAATTAGAATTCCCTTTCGAAATGTTGCATTTTTCTTCTAAATATTCGATAATTCCCTCGAATGCAAGACTTGATTAATTCATCGAGAAATTGGTCACTTCATTAAAAAAAAAACTATTGCAATAGAAGTCTATCTCAAGAAATTAAGAGTCTGTTATCTTTACTATTTTTAATCCATTTTCAGTTTTCAGTTTTCGAAAACACTGGAGATACGTTTACTTACCTATTTTCATAAACGAATTTTAAAAAACGAGTTAAAAAATTTACAAAGAAAACGAAAAACGCCAAAAAAGTCGTTTTGGCTGTTTTCAGTTAAAACCAAGCAAAATCTTCATTTTTTATTTTTGAAAATAATTTTTCAAAATGACAAAAAGAACTCGTTTTCAGTAATTTCAAAATAAACACTCAAAACACAAAACCAAAAATGAATTCAAAACTCAAAACTAAAAATTGAAATACGAAGAGAACATCCTCTAATTCTTTCTCCTTTGAAAATTTAACTTTTTGAACGAGATAGTTCAACAAGTTCAATTTATTTATTTATTTTTTTAAAAAAAATATCAAAAACAAAGTCAAATCACATATATAATTAGGTTGTATGATTTTTTTTCATTAGTTTCAGAAAAAAAAGCAGCATAATAATAAAAATTTATGATCAATTGTCAATCCTAATATCACTAAGTCAATTTGACTTGCAAACATCGAAATTATTAATTCTTTGATCTTTAAATATGTTATTTAACTTATTGATTATTAATTACAAAATCCATGTATCAATCTTCGAAATAAAATATAAAAAAATAAATTTCTCCACTATTTAATAGTCTAAAATTATTGATAAAACGATTCTATATTATCTTAAAGCAAACAAAAGTCTTGTATTTATATATATATGAAAAAGAAACTACGTATCGTATCTGCAGTGAAAAAAGAATCTCGCACGTACGTGAAGACGAGTTGGATCTACACTAATTACAGTATTTTGTCAATTAAATTCATATTTGATAGTGTTTGAAAAGATTTTGCCTTATTTTCTCCCTTTTCGTCCTCCTTTTGTTGATCAAGTGTGCAAGTTGTATGAAAATCTTGTTCCAGCGTAAAATATTGAATACTCCAGCACCGACCTGATGTTGAAGTTTTGTTAAAGGGAAAAGATGTTACTTTTCATTTTTCCATTTCCTGGGGTGACCCCATCTATACATTTTTTTTTCTCTGATTTGGGTTCCAAGTCCAAATCGGTTTGCAATTTAACCAAATCGACCCAACTCGAACCATGCTCACTCCTAGTTACAAGCACTTTTCATGCTTCGTGTAACCATACATCTCGTTGTGAATTTCATACACTCTTAGGGCCTGTTTGAGTCCCTTTTTTTTGTGCAAAATGTATTTTCGAATAGTAGATTGGTGAAAAATGTGTAGTTAAAAATGAAGAATTTTTTTTTGAAATATCATATTCCTCGTTAATATCTTTATTTCCATGCCCATAATGAAGGTTTCGTGCAGATAAAATAAAGCAGTTTATACCTGCTCTAAGTGTATATGTCCCCTCTTCGTTTGAATGGATGCAAGAATCATCTTTATGATTTACTAAATAATTGTCAAAACCCATCTTGGTTATACCTTCTTCAATATTAACCACCATGATACCATTGCCTAGCTTATGCTAAGAAATAGTGAATAATATATCAATTTAACAAATTTAATTTAAAATTTGGGACACAACGCCAACATATTTATCAATTTTTTGATATGTCATGTCACCGGTGCTTTGTATAAGCTAAGTAACAATGTTTAGTACATCTTTTGTCCATAGATTAAACTCTTGTATGTCCATAACCTAGTGTACACACATATGTATAATATACATACACCTATATATGTCTTATATGTATAACATTTATATTGAGAACGAGGAATCTTAACTTTATTCCACTGAGAACTATCAATTTGCAAAAAGAAAAATAGACATACAAGAACAGACAAGATTTGTAGAGGTTAATCTTAATGTGAGATTACATCTACTTTTACCGCTATAGTAATTAGGACAAAATCGAAATTTCTTAAAAACACTATATATTAAAACACATAAAAGCGCCTATATATTCATGTCCATAACCTAGAGATTTAGATATACCTACACCTATGTAAGTCTATATTCTAATATATACGCCGTGTTTTAGTTGCCTTAATAAAGCCAAGAGGGGGAAGAATAAAATGCACAAAGTACATTATTAGGCATGGAAATAAGGGTTATGTGGTCCCTCTAATGTCCATTCTTCTATATCCCTAGTCTTCACGTTTATGCCACTTGCTTCATTATTTTTTCAAGATTCTAAGTCCATCACCGTTTCGAGGTCGTGCGCTTCAAAATGTCGCTATGCATAGTTGCAACTTGCAAGATTGACGCACAGCTGTGTTTGTGGCGCACCCGTGTAAGTGTAACGTTTGGAAGTATTAATTTGAAAATTAAGGGAAGTTCTATTTAGTAGATTTTGATAAAAATTAATAAACTTTGAGTTGAAAAGTTGATAAAAATTGTAAATTTTATGAAATGTATGATTAAAAATGAAGTCTGAAAATTTGATTTTTAGCGAAGTTTTATCAAAGAAGCACCAAGTTAAATTTTGGAAGTAGTGGATATATTTAGATCATATATAATTAATTTAAAATATTAGAGTTTCTCTTATGAAGCAGGGATATGGGATATACATTGTTTAAGGAAACAAAAAGTTAAATTTTCTCACATTTTATTTAATAATAGCCTCTTAAATAGTTAGGCAATCCATTATTGCTAATTAATGTAAGATAAAATGCTTGTAATTAATGGAATAGAAAAATTGTGCTACAAAAAAATATCCAAATAGATATTTTCTTAAGGGTAAAGTCAATTAATAAATTCATCAATAATCCTAGTAAAAAATCACTCCTTTAGACAACCAAAAAAGGGAACTACTTGCAGATTAAAATGCCTATTTATGATATTATCAAATTGCAAAGACAGTATGGTATAGTATAGATGTGCTCTAGGATAAGAATAAATCAAGCTAATTAATTCGACCAATAATTTCCATTTTCAAGGGCAATGTTCACATCGAGAAATAATTTCAAAGTCTTTGAAAGTTATAGAAATTGAAAATTTTTTTTTGTAAGTACTATATTATTTAATCGCCGATAAAAACTAATACAAATTTTCTACAATTCCTTTCCCGATCCAAAAGGGAATTGGGAAGATTCTATTTCAAAGCACGTGGCGTGTCATTTCTTCTATGTCATGTTGCAAAATTTTCCTTTTCTCGTCCAAGAAATTCATCGATACTAGCCTATTATTAAGTGTAAGAAACTTAACTCAACTGGCACAATCATATTTGAAAAATCTTCCTTAGCAATCCGGCTCAATCTAGCACGACCCATTCAAATACCGTAGTTCGTCCTTGTCAAAAATCAAAAATTTGTAGGTCACTGTGCTAGTGGACTCGACAAAAGATGTGTCGGACAAGAAGGCCAAAAACCTCAATTTTGTTTGATAAACCAAGAATGCTCTACTTGTTAATTTATCCCGTGTAACAAATAATACCACAAAAAGGAAAGATTCGATTTTAATTTGTTTAGTAACCATGCTTACACACACGTTTGAATGACATAAGGAAAAAAAACTGATAATACACTAAAATAATCTGAAATTTCAGCTTAATCCTATATTTTAATTTATTCTTGGTCTTCAAAATCTCGTCAACAATATGAACTAAAAAGCGAGTAATCGGTGAAAGCGTGTGCTACATAATTTCCTTATCAGCAAGCAACTGGTTCACCTTTGACATTCATCAATTGTCAACCCAATCCAATGTAAAAATTGCAAAAAACTGCTTTTTTTGTGCTTGTATAGGGCCATTTGTATATATAAACAAGCTTCCATTTGCATTTTTCTTATTGGGTTCTCTCTTTAGAAATACTTTAGAACCAAGAAAGTAAGAGCCTGCTTAAATTTTCTTATTTTTTTATTTGCTTATTCAAAAAGTTTTCTTGTTTGTGGAGGGGTTTTGTGGGATGGAGGATTGGGGTTTGCAGGCTGTAGTTAGAGGTTCTAGCGGTGATTTTACCAATATTATCAATACAGATATTTTTCAGCAATCCTTTTTCGGGTTCTCGAGCCATCAGAAATTTGATAATGAGTTCGTTTACGATTTTCCTGAAATTTTCGAAGCTGTTAATGTTTCTGGTGATGAACTAGAAGAGCTTTACAAGCCATTTTATCCGACCGTGGCAAATTCTGTTCCTGCACAAACTGTTCTTCAATTTGAAGAAGAAAGTCCTGCAGAAAGTACTGTAAATCAAGAAAAGCAGGCTCAAAGTTTTCCTTCTGATCAGACTAGTGATTCTACTACTAGGGCTATTGCTTATAAACCAAGATACAAGAGAAGGTTTGTTAAATAAATTTTTACATCCTAGATAATTTATATATGAATCTAAGTTCAAGTAGTTATGATTTTATTTTTATTATTTTTGAAATTTGATGATGACAAGATTCATAATTTATTCACAGGAAGAATGAGCATAAAAGAGTTGTTGTTCAAGTTTCTGCTGAGGGTCTTTCTTCTGATGTCTGGGCTTGGCGCAAATATGGCCAAAAACCTATTAAGGGTTCTCCCTATCCAAGGTTCATCTCTCTCTCTCTCTCTCTCTCAGGCGCACAAAAAAAATTGATACTGAATGAACATATAAAACAAAGGCGATCATATCATACTGTAAAACACTTTTATATGTATATATATAGAGAGATCCCCAAAGAAAGAATAGATGTTCATGGGTAGAACTTAACTTGGATTCATTACGTATAGACTGAGTGAAGCCCATTCATGATGTTCTTTTTTCTTCTCAAACACAAATCAACCTAATATTCGTATTATATTAAAAAAAAAAATATTAGGCTGTTCTCTCGAGGCACTGACAAGCGTGATATTGAAATACTCTTCATCATAGTGAAAACTTGTAGCAGCAAGAGGACGTGAAACTCTCACAGATAAACTATATAAATATGTGTATATTTTGTTAAAGACTGTCACTTTGGTCCTTTTTTGTACTATAACTATGGAATCACTAGAACAAAATCTAGCTCACTCATAGGCATGCACACAAAATCCATAATTTACTGAAGACCCTTTTTCTATGTGAAAAACAGAAGCTACTACAGATGTAGCAGCTCAAAAGGATGTCTGGCAAGAAAACAAGTTGAGCAAAGCTGTACAGATCCTGGAATGTTTATCATAACCTACACCGCAGAACATAACCACAGCCAGCCAACTCGAAGAAATTCTTTAGCCGGTACCATCCGTCAGAAATTTCCAGCATCCAGAAGCCCAAATAGAATCAATATCAAGCAGGAAAGAACTGAAGATTCCATTTCTGGTTCAAAAATTCCTTCTCTATTCATGTCTACAGAAACCCTTTTGCCTTCACCAATGGAAGAAGATTTTCTCCAGGCAAAATGCAATCAAGAGGGAAAAGAAGATGATAAGTTGATATTCAGTGATGATTTCTTCTCCGGGTTAGAAGAGTTTGATGTATTTAATTCAGATATATTGCCTATCAGCTGCCATAGTTCAGCACAACAATTTCCTGTGAGTTCTTGTAGCTAATATTAGAAGATTCTGAACCAAAATTAGCACCTATGTATAACCTGCAAAAGGCTGGTTAATTCGAATGATGCTGGATAATGCAATTTCAGTTTGTAGAGCATCACCAACATTTTGTTAATCCTTCATATCTTCTTTAATGCATAAATGTTGTAATTCTGAGGAAGCCAATACTATTTACTGGTTATAAACCGACTATTAGCATTAACAAGTGAACACATATGAGTAAGATTTAAGGTTCCTTTCTTAAATACTAGGTGCAAGCAACGTACAATGCACGTTTGCCTAGTTTATATTTAATAGTTTTGTTTAAGAATTAATTTGTTATTAATAAAGATGTAATTTTTTTGGTTAATTAAATAATTAATGATGTAATGTTTATGTAATTGATAAATAATTAGATGTGTGATTTTGATGTTGTGATGTAAGTTGGTGAGATCGAAGAAAATAAGCAAAAGTTGACAAATTTGGAGAAATGGCTAAATTGTAAGGGATCCAAAGTTCGGGGACTAAAATGTAAATACTTAAAAGTTGTGCCGAACCTCACGATGAAGATTTGAGAGTGCTCGGAGTCAATTGAATAAAGGAAGACGTCAATGGAATCAAATTTAGTCAAAAGATGATCACAAATCAATTTCCTACCGAAAAGTTATGCTCCGATATTTTAGTCTCATATTGAGACCTATTTTTGGCATAGAAAGTGATCGAATTGGAGAATGATGTCTGAATCAAAGTTATAGCCAGATGAGTTAGCTTTCAACGCATTTTGAATCGCCTCAATCGGATATCGAAATACAAAGTTATGATAAAAACACTGAAAGAAGGTGCAACTGTCCGTTAAAACAACAAATTCCGTTACATAGTCCGTTAAAACAACAAATTCCATTAGTTTTTCAGTTAAAAATAAGAAATTTCGTTACATAACCACTTTTAATATATAGAAGATATAGTATTTAATGCTAAGAAAACAAAAGGTTGTACTAGAACACACAATTTGTGAACAGCCTTCTTTGTTTAGGCCAAGAAAAGTACAATAAAACCATTTGTACAGATATGGTTTTGCAGAAAGCCACCAGAATACTCACAATGCGCGGCCCACCCTGTATTTAAAAAAAATTTGTGGGCCCCATTGTGTGTATTTTGTTGATCTTCTGTGACTTCTACTTCTGTACACGAAGCAAAGTTCAGAAAAGTAACCACAGATCCCTCAAAAGCTGCACCCATGACTGGTGTGGGATCCAGATGTGAACAGTCTGACTAAATTAGTGTTCCCTCATTTTGAATTAGGTCCACCAACAATAGCACTATCTTAGCATATATGTACATGGACATTAATACATATACATCAAACCTTATATAAAGGGTTACATAATATTACATGATACTTTATCATTGGACAATCTAAAATTTAGTCAACTTTTTCATCCAATTATTTCACTGCACATCATTTTCCGATACACTTTCTGGATGTCATTTTCTGGACAAATAGCATAATTGTCTGTGGATTGAAAATGGTGCAAGAATAGTGTTGAGTAACAATCATTGCAACCTAATTTGGCAGGGTGAGTATGGATTGAGTGGATGCACCTCTCTAGGGCAACTATATGTTGGGGGGTTTTGCTGCCAAAAGCCAACCATGGATGACTTTATGAGATTTTTCCGCCCACATGGTTAGAAAATAACATGGATATAATAATGGTTGGAAAAGTGCGAACATATTCTCAGGTAAGTTAAATATGGGATAAATGATGGGCTTATACATGATTGGTTAAAGGGATACCTTTTAGGATGGATCCTCTATTCCCACAATAACAATCTTAATCGTAACAACCACCATTTAGTTGCACGCGTTCTCTAGTAACCTCCCTTCAATAGAAAACTCATGTCATGTAACAACTATTCGACAACTCTATCATGTTATCGTCGCTTCGCATAAGATGATAGTCGATACTTACTGGATCATTTCTCATATTTTTTTAATGGCCAATATGCATTTCGTTGGAGCATATCGCCATGAACAATTGGCCAGAAAATTCGGGATATACATTAAATCCATCAACTAATTAGAAAATTAAAAAATGAGACGTTATGATAAGGACTACTTTGTTTCCATAAAATGGAACATATCAACAAGAAAGACAATCAACATCAGACAATGAATAATCAGTAAGAACAAGAGAAAATTAGGACTACTATTTAGTTAAGGAGCCGTGAGAGATGAGAAGTGAGAAATCCTTTTTTCGATTCTGACTCTCCCACTTCAGTTGTTGCTTTTTTAAAAACTGAATATTACTAACTTTTTTGAAAATTTGGGAGATTATCGACTCCGTGCGTTTTTTAATTGTAATTGCTAAAAAGTTTAAATTCTTAATAGTGGACTCTTTCATGCTTATCTCAAGGTTTTAATTAATAATCATGTACAAAAACTTAACGTTAAGGTACTAAAAAAAATACACCGTAATATTCTGACTCCATTTATTCAAATCAGTTTAGATCATTATCTTCTTCACTTCCCACAAGTATTGATACAAATTTACTTATAAAAATACTTAATATTTTATTCAAACTGACCTAGCCTTGTAATAGGCAATACAATTCAACAACCTTAGCATAAACATAGGATCACTAACGTGCAGATTTCTGTTGCAATAAAAACTATAGACTAGGTAAATTAAAAACAAACTGAGACATGTGTAGGGAATTATTGAGAGCAATAACCCAAGACCCAAGCCCATATCATCAGGCTCAAGTGAGGTTCCATCCCAAAACCAATTGGTAATGGGTGAAGTAACCCACTTAGGTTATATGGTGGATTTATTTTCTTCCTGCAACCGATGTGAGACTTGTTTGCCCCAACATATCATTGTCCGTAACTTTCCTTATATCACTGGCAACCTATTTCTTATAGTTGCAACCAAGAATGGAGTGCCCAAAACCTTTACAAGAACCACAAAACTTCGGTTCATGTTCGAAAAGGATTNGTTATATGGTGGATTTATTTTCTTCCCACAACCGATGTGGGACTTGTTTGCCCCAACAACATGGACTTCGTAAATACTTGAACTTAAAAACAAACTTTAATTAAATAAATAAATTCCAACAAACTCTCCCTTGAACTAAAAGTTTACAAACTTCAGTTTAAAATTATGCAGAACATTTCATTAAATTTGATCTTCCAGTGCATAAACTCCAAGTAACTTTTTCAGCTTCAGAAAACTAGCTAATTTGAGGGGTTTAGTAAAAATATTTGGTCTGCACTTCTGCAGTAGACAAGATCAATAACTTCATCCTTTGTGAGATCACGTAAGAAATGATACCTCACATCTATGTGCTTGCATCTTCCATGAAAAAGAGGGTTCTTTGAAAGCTTAATTGCTGAACTGTTATCACAAAAAATTTGAGTAGAACCTTTTTGTTTAAACTGCAATTCTTCAAGAATTTTTCTCAGCCAAATTACTTGACATGCACAAGAAGTTGCTGCCACAAACTCAGCCTTAGCCGTTGACAAAGTAATTATTGGTTGCATCTTTCCAGCATAAAGACATATCCGGATGTACATCTTCTGTCATCTAAATCTCCAGCATAATCAGTATCTGTGAACCCAAACAAATCTGATTGTTCGCCCTTTTTTGTAAAAAAGCCCAAACTTAGTAGTACCGCGCAAATACCAAAGAATCCTCTTTGCTGCTAGAAGATGGATCTCCTTTGGTTTCTCCATATACCAGCTGATAAGACTTACTGCATGCATTAAATCCGATCGTGTTGCTGTCAAATACATCAAAATTCCAACAGTTTCATATCAGATTGCTTTACTTCTCAATTACATTTTAAACCTGTTTAAAATTTCTTGGGCATATTTCTTTTGTGACACGAATTCCAGAATCAGATTGCTTTACTTCTATGCCAAGAAAATAGTGCACCATCCCAAGATCAGACATATCAAACTCAAGCATCATGGATTGCTTAAACTTTTCAAACATGACTCTATCATTTCCAGAACAAATCAGATCATCAACATATAAGCATACCACAAGCAATTTTCCTCCATTTTCAATTTTCATGTAAAGAGTATGCTCATGTGGGCATTTTTTAAAACCTTCCTTACAAAAATAAGAATCTATACAACTATACAAGCTTTCGATGCTTGTTTTAGTCTATATAGAGCCTTTTTCAGCTTATAAACTTTACGCTCACTGCCAAATTTCACGTAACTAGGAGGTTGATCAATAAATACCTCTTCAAGTAGGTCTCCATGTAAAAATGTCGATTTCGCGTCCAATTGGAGGATGGGCCATGAGTTTTGAGCTGCCAGTTTGATTGTATCGTGTCTTGCAACCGGAGCAAACACTTCTTTATAATCCACTCCAAACTCTTGTTTGTAGCCTTTAGCTACTAGACGTGTCTTGTATTTGTCTACCTCACCATTTTCATTCAGCTTCGTCTTGTAAACCCACTTAACACCAATCGTCTTCTGCCCCTTTGGAAGTTTAATGGCTGCTATCTCATCATCTATAGCCTGCTGCTACTTGACTTCCTTGGAAGCATCGTCAAACTTAATAGGATCACAATTTGAAAAAAAATGCAAAATAAGTATGTGGGTCTTCATCTTCATCTTAAGGTAGATTAATTTGGCCAACTTCGTAATCTCTCATCCATGCTGGCTATTTTCTGGTTCGTTGAGGTTGCGTGCTGCTGCAACTTTGTTGTTGATCCGTAACTTCGATTGTTGGATAGTGTAGAAATCACGTAATATTGAGGTCAAGATTAGGAAAGATTTGAGATTATTTATCTTTCCTTGTGTGTAATATTGTAATATTTTAGATTGTAGAATTATTTCTTTCCTTATATTTCTCCTTTCATTGTACTATAAGTAGGTGTATTGGGTTGTAAATTAATAAGAAGAAATATTCAATTTTCTCTTCAGATAGCTTTCAGCTCCTGCTGTTGGTTGCTGCTCTTTGTCATGATCATCACCATCAAAGTTTGTTGAAATTTGTTGCATGCATGGATCTCTACCCCATAGCCAGAATTTTTCTTCATCAAACACCACATCACGCCTGATAATTACTTTCTTGGTGATAGGATTGTACAACTTGTAAGCTTTCGATTGACCACTAACACCAAGAAAGACAGATTTTTCATCCTTGTCATTATGTTTTGTTCTCTTTTGATCAAGAATGTGGGCATAAGCGATGCAACCAAACATTCTGAAGTAATCACCGTAGGTTTACGACCATTCCAACCTTCCTCTAGTGTCATATTTTGAACAACATGAGTAGGACTTCTATTCAGAACATAAACACTCCAGCTAACAGCTTCGGGCCAAAATTCTTTTGGAATGTTGCTTCTCTTTAAGAGGCTTCACACCATATTCAGAATTGTGCGAATTTTCCTTTCGCTCACTCCATTTTGTTGGAGAGAATAAGCTATTGTAAGTTGTTGTTTTATCCCGTACAATTCACAAAAAATTACGAACTCATGTGAATTGTATTCTCCACCCCGATCAATGCGAATGACTTTTATTGGCTTTTCAACCTCTTTTATAGGCGCGACGCAAGTAAAAAATGCGTCAAATTGGGCAATGTGCGTAAAAATGCAGTCAACGATTTTTATTGACAGCCTAGGCGCGCCTATGTGTTTCAATGCGCGACAATGCATGCATAAGCCCGCATCAGGAGAGCCCATGCGAGCCTATGCGCGCATTGAGACGT